GGGGGGGGGGGGGGGGGGGGGGGGGGGGGGGGGGGGGGGGGGGGAGAATCAGGCAGGGAGGGGGCACCGCGGCGAATCAGGGAGGGAGGGGTATCCGTGAGCGAGGTGGGTGAGGTCCTCGTTCGATATTGGTCTCTCCCTTTCCCTTCGTGCTGAGAAAGTTTCGATATCCGGCCACCATTTTCCTAGGTGAGACCGAACGCCGCCGTAGGAATGTCTAAGGGGGGGGTGTACTCTCATAGTCGTGCATGCCGTAGTCGTTAGACCATTGACCTCGCATCCCTACAAAGCCGGGACGGAGCACGCCGGGTTCTCACCGGACCAGGCTCTCACATCACCAAGCGCGAAGCGCCGTGAGATATTCGGCGAGTCGCATGAAGGGTGCGCTGCATCCTGCTAAGGGTTTTCGGCATCTTGTGCTTACTTCCTTGCGTACGGATGACAGCTGCGTAGAGTTAATTTACTTTCTGGTGCTTTCACTTCCAGAGACAGTTGTAAGCACTGTGTAACTGCCTCGAGGGTGCTTGACCACTTTAACACAACGTGGTGCGATCATCCTCCTTGCGCGGAGTGAGGGTTCTCCACCCCGCACAACATGATCTACTCGACCACCATTATGGTTACCGCCAAAAAAAAAAACGGAGGTAAAGAAAAAAAACGGTAACCTGGTTGCCGAGTTCACGAAGTGAATTGGCTTGTTTTACAACGTCTTTGCCAAGCGACGAAAACCCAACCCCGATGGCAAACACCGAGGGGGGGCGTATGTCTAAGGGGGGCGACGCTCATTGGACCGCTTACGCTTCGCCCGTAACAAACAACCAAACTTCAATTGTTTGGTTCTGTGCCGCCGGTTTTGGGTGAGGGCGGGGGATTGACCGGCACGACTCATGCGTCGCACTTCCCGAGAGCGAGGAAGGGGCAGAGCGGCCGTGCGGGGGCGCTGACCCAGCTAACCGGTGACACTGCTTCGTCAGAAAAGCGCCCCGCGCGTACCTTGAAAGCCATCAGCGCTACTGCCGATCATCTACCCCGTGGCATCGGCCAAAGTAAGCTGCAAGCGTGTGCGCGACATTGCCCGCGCGGTACCCGAACACTTTTTTGTTTCAAAGTGTTTCAAATTAGAAAACCGTAAATATTCCCCTGAGCAAGCGTGTAGCCGAACGGTCACCCGATGCCCACCCCAACTGAACTTGACTCATGCATACCGCATACCGCACCTGAGCAGCTGTCGCGGCGCCAGCGGACCGTCCGTGAACGGCTGCGATATCACCCAGAGCCGGATCCCCTCCCGCTCCACTCCGAGCGTCCGCGCGATCAAGCCCTCCACCTCCTCGAGGGTGCTGCACCGGAGCACCTCGAACGTGATGCACGGCAAGGGACCGCCGCCCTTTGCGGGCGTGCTGGTGTTGCGGTTCTTCTCCCCAGGAGAGGAACGCCCGTCAGAACAGGTGGCCGCGGCGGGGGGGGGGTCGCGAGGATGGTTCCGGGAAGTTTCTGATAGGGAGACAGGGGTTAGGGCGGAGACAGAACGCCACAACGGAAAGCTTGTGAGTTCACTGATAATGACGGGTGGGAGCGGAACCATGAGCTGTCTCTAGAGAGGGGTCAGCCGAACCCCTCAGGACTACCACGCCGCCTTTCAACAGGGACCACGTTACGTTACGCACGTCACGTGCACCAACCAGCGTATTCACCACACGAACAGCCTTCTAGGTGAGCGGTGAACGTAGCTTGGTTGTCGAGAACGCAGCTTGATTGTCGTGGACATAGCTTGGGTGCTGTGAACATGACGTTTGTTGGTGAATGTGTGTTCCATGGTCATGTACCGTGAAGCATCACGTTTCAACGGCGGTAACACCGGCGGTAGTGGCCAGCCCCACGAAAGAAAAACAAGACATGCCCAAACATACACGAAAGAGTGCGCGACGCACCTTGTCCTTCCTCCTGCTCGACCCCATCGTTGCCGTAGAAGTGAAACCGCCGGTCCCTACCGCGAACCGGTACGACTCCAAAGCCACGGTGGGAAGCGAGGTCGGCCGTGGTGTAGACGTGCAGGAAGAGGAAGAGAAGCCGGGCGCGAAGCCGCACCGTGAGCCTTCCGTCCTTCACAAAACCTTGCTCCGGGTCCTGAGAAATCACCCGAGGGTGTCGCGGGCTGAGGGATGAGAGCGAGTCTAAGGGGTGGGGGGGGGTGGTTAGGCGTTGTGCGATACAGAGCTTCTACAATTATTGCTGCTTGTTGACGAACAAGTGCACCCAGGCACGCAACGAAAACTGCGAGCGCTTGCCAACGACCCCGGCCTTGCCTCGCCGACAATCTCAAAGCAGTACCCAGCGGTAATGCATGGGACACCAGCTACAGAGACAGCCCGTCCGACAACGGAAACAAGTCGCCACCCTGCCGCCCACGCACCTGCACCTTGCCCATAGGGATCAGGCAGTGCACCCCCCAGCTGCGCCTGCCATGCCAGAACCTGTCCCCCTCCATCGACGATACCCACACCACGCCCTTGTCCCCCTCGGTGTTCACCGCCGCCAGGGAGAAAGCTGCGCAGCACTCGCGCGCAATGGCCGCGGGCTCCCCCGCGTGCGACACGATGGCCGCCCTGCCCTCGCGGGTCCGCGCGCGCCGCCTCCTGCGACGCAACCCGTGCGGATCGCTGTTGGTCTCCGCTCGCACCCCCCCTTCCTCCTCGGCTCCCCACGGTTGGCCAACCAACAGGTGCTGCGGAGGCGGCGGAAATCCCTCGAAGGACGCTCCGCCGCCGCCCCCTCCCCCCCCCACCCCCCAGGGAGGAGTGTCCGGGGGGTCGTCGTGGAAGGCCACGGTGAGGTAGACGGACAGGCCCTTCTCGGCGGGAGGCGCGCCGGCCGCCTGCGCCTGGCTGGCGGCGCGGGGGTTGCCGGTCGGGTCGGCGAGCAGCATGAACAGGTAGCCGCAGAGGGAGAACGGGGGGAAGTATCTCCGCTCCGACTGTTAAGCAAGGGCCCCCGCGCGCCGCCGGTGTGTGAGAAAAATGGAAGGCGAGGAGGGGGGGGGGG